GACAAAGATTTGTCCTGACTGTGGGCAAGGCAGGAAAACTCTAGCTACAATCAACTGTGACCAAAGATCTCCTCCTTTGCCATATATATATATAAAATCTGTCATCAGATCTCTTCAGCTTTCTGAGTCCTAAACACCTCTAAGAGACATCTCTTTATGTCATCGAGATGGCCACTAACCTGAGCGATTCTGTCCCCTCTCTCCTGAAGCAGGCAATGACAGCCCCTGGTATGTGTCACCTTCTCTCTTCCTGTTTTCCAGTCAGCTGTCCACATTACTGCCAAAGTGAAGTTAATAAAAATTATGAGAGCAAATCTACTCCAACAGTTTGACACAAACATATTTAGTATCAACTGGCCTGTCTGCTGGTGTAATTCAGCACACACCTCTGGTGTAATTTATCACACACCTCTCCCTCTTCTCTGTTGTCCGGTCATGCAACTTTACACTTCTTGAGAGTATGTTCCTGTTCTCTCCATCACTAGCAACGAGCACATTGTTCTCTCTGCTCATACTTCCTCCACCACCTGCTTCCATTCACCTGCTTAGACTGCTGCCAACCCTTCCAACCTCAGAATAACTCACGAAGCCAAGAAAAGAAGCATCGGACTGTAATTTCACCACCCAGAAGGGCAAAGCAAGATGGTCTCAAGTTCAGCGCCAACATGAGCTTGAAACCAGCCTGGGCTGCATAGTAAGATGCCGTCTCAGAAACTAACAGGCATAAAACACCAAAGCCTCTCTTCTTCCTCAGATGAGTTCACGCTCACTTCCAGGGGGATCCCACGCCCCCACCATCAGAGTAGACCACATTGTCAGGGTTACCTTTCCTCTTAGCAGTCTGTATTTTCCCTTTATGAAATTTACTACAGTTTGTAATTATACATTTATTTATGAATATTTGATTATAGCTTTGTTTTCTATCAGACCTAAGCTCCATGAAGATAATAAGCATGTCTTTGTTCATACAGGAGTTACTCAATAAATATTGTGGAATTCATGAATAAATGAATAAAATGAACCAGGCCAATGAAACCAAGGTGAACTCGATGCCTAGGATCTGGAAATTGCCTACCTTGTGTACGGTTTTCCCCTTTAGGTCTCTAAAATAGCTTCATTTCACGTATAATGTGTTTTCATCCAGAGAGAAGCATTCAATTGAAATGGAAGAGCTATTTCTTGACTTAGACATACCATGGAATCAAGCTTTTATTACTTCTCTGAGAATATAGCTTGCAGTCTGCCATGCCTTTGTCTCAGAAACAACGCAACCTCTCTCCTTCCTGAGAAATGAAGTTAAGGACTACCTCATGTCGTCATGGCAAACTGGAAACCTCCCTCTGGCTCTCCAGGGGAAGAGGTTCTCGCTGGTTTCTGTGATCCATATACTTTGACTTCAGTAGTTTTCAGGTTCCCGATCTGAGCCCCCCACAACTCCCCCACAAAACAGAGCCTGCAGGAGAGACACACAAGCCAGTTGGTTCCACCATGCCACTGTGACCATAATCCCACACTGAAAGAGAAGAGCTGGTGGAAAAAGAAGATACTTAAACTCTAAAGAGAGGCATGTGTGCCTTCCCATGCTGAGGACAGAGACAATGGAGGCAACTGAGGCCCAGTCACCTTTCTGGAAGGCTCCATAAGCTGTCTCACAAGTAGGTCAACATACCCTCTGGCCATTTGTCTCATGATTTCCTGTGTACTGGCTGGAAGGCTATCATAGACACCATGGGGGAAGAAATAATAGTTTGGCCAATCTGTGAATAACCCCCCTTTCCTTTACCAAACTTTGTTTCTTAACTTCTTTTAGAATAGGGAGAAAATCAAGGCAGTGGGTTAAGGACCCAAGTGACTAGTACCACCACGAGATCCGGCAGACATTCACCTTCGAGGTTGTCTTTTCTCCCCTTTCAGTGATATGGGTCACCCCTGTCCATGTCCAGCTTTCTGCAGCTTCATGATTATTTTCCTATTTTTAGATCCTTTCATCGAGTCGAGATAGCTACTTGGAATGCAGGAACCTTGAGAGACCTGTCATTTCCATCCCCAAGGCTAAATTGCCATTTCTGTCATGAACTCTAATCTGCCACAAGAAGAACCAGGCGGAGGGGGTTCAACTGCACGTGCGGCTTTCGAAAGATATGCATGGGCCAGTAAAGCCCATCAAAGAGAAACGAACGAAGGAACGGGGCTCGGATCGGGGCCGGGGGTAAATATTATTCCCAACGACTGTTTACCAACAGTTTCACATGCCTGTGCAGATACTTCCTAAGTTTGCAAGGCAGTGTTTATGCAAAGGATTAGGGAGAGGGCAAAAGTCTCCAGGGGGGAGAGCTCACCAAAGCAATGGCTCTCAGGCATGAAATTGTCAACAACATTAAAACCTTTGCTCCACCCCGGAGCCCGGCGTCCCGGCCAACGGTAGACACCCACGTGTGCTGGCCAAGATAAAGTCAACAACAAAATCACATCTCATGTCACATCTCCTGCCCCACCACATGCCCACTGCTGCTTGGGTGCGGCAAGCTCTGCCTACTGGAAATCCTCAGAGTAAACAAGCCACCCAGCCGTCCCTTTCTTGTCCTGTAACTGATGGCAGGGTGCAGAACCGTCCTCCAGAAAGGAGTGATAGCAGAACCATCAAGGGCCCCAACTGTTTGCCAAGTGTTCAATGATTAACAGGGGTGGGAGAGGGAGGGGAGTGCCCAACCTTTGGGCTGTCACTCAGGGAAATCTGTTTAGTAAACAGTCAACCACCAATATCTTGAACAGGTCAAATAAACGGCTCCAGGGTTCAGGTCAACCGTGTTTCCCTCAATCTCACACAGCTTGGGGTAATGAAGGCCATACAATTCAAGAAAAGACCAAGCAGAAACACCATCACTACCACCCTCCAGTGTGCAAAGCTCCGATGTCTGGGACATGAAATCCGAGGAAGAAGTCAGAGGAGAGAGGAACGCCCTTAGAGGGGTGAGTCTGACTTCATTAGAAATTGACTGGGTGTGCCTGAAGATGGAGGGGAAGGAAATAAAGTCTCCATGAAGGATATGTTTTTTCTCTCCATGGAGTACCTGAAGGAATCAACACAAAGAACGAATCCCTGAGTTCAGCCAGAGACTCATAATGATGGAGGACCAAACCACCAATGCCAAGTTTTTGAGAGAAAAAAAAAATCTTAACCCCGAAGTCACAGATGCAATGCCTGGCTGATTCCTCGAGCTTCTCTGTGGAGACCCAGGATTCCAAATGTTGTACGAAAACATGCTAGAGTCAAGTTAAGAGTACCACAGCTTCAGCATAACTGTGAGTGTTAGTACTTAACTCAGAACAGGTCTACCCATCCATCCTGGCCCTGCTCTGCCCTGCCCACCTGTTTTCCTCTGTGCTGGTCAGTCAGCTTTCCGTTACGGCTACAAATTACCTGAGATAACCCCACCTAAAAGTATCCAGAAAGGTTTGTTTGGCTTCATGGTTTTGTTGATGGTGCATGGCAGAGGAGGGTGCTAACCCTTTGGTAACTAGGAAATGAAAGATACAGGAAGGGACCTGAGACTCAATATCCATTTGGAGGAAAAATCCATTGTAACATAACTTCTGTTATGCCCCACCTCCTAATAGTGCCATGGGCTGGGGTCTTTGTTAGACACTTATCTAAACCATAGTGCCCCATTTGTGCATTTGTACAATGTGTGCCTAAGGCCTGACTTGGTATATATCTCAATGATGATGCTGATATCACCTAGGTCAAAGGGCATTACAAATCCAAGTCTTTGGGCCTCAACCTTGCTACTTCAGATAAATGCCATAACAAGCTTCAAAAGAGAAAAACAACACAGACTCAACCTGTACTCCATAACCAGAGAAATTTCTGCCTAGATTAGAAGCACAAGCAGGAGGCATGAAAAAATATGTAAGAAATAATGTAAAACCCTATAATCCACACCCACCCCATGGGAGACGGAGAGGGCAGAGAGCCTGCTCCCCACTAAAGTGAGGGTAAAGGTAGATGCTGCCCTTCATCACAGAAGGGCCCCTGAGTTAAAAGAGGGTTCTCGACTAAGAGCCTAATGGGCCTAGCTGAAATATTCCATAGTCCACGGGGCATGACACCAGAGGGGGTGTGAGGCATGCTCCTTTTGTCCAAGAGGAGCCTACAAATCAAAATAACCCTAAAACAAGGAAATTAAATCAAAGCCAATTATACAAAATTCAGGAGATCATTTTACTTATGAAAATAGCCACCAACTTCTTGGAATAGTAATGATGTAACTGTTTACTATTATTTCAGTGGCACCTGTGATGTAAGTGAACCAACCTTCAAGTGATGATGTGCAGATGTTTAAGGATTACTAGAGAGTACAGGACTGACTATGAAGAGCAGAAAAAGATCTTAAGACACACAGGAGAAAAAGACGAGACGGAGCAGGAGAAGGAAGGTGCTGTAGATTTTTCTAAAAATCTATTAGGCATCCCTCCCATAAATTCCAGCTTCAAATTTGGCATGTAAAGGGCTTGGCAATCATTCTTTCTGTATTTACAATAAAAACCTAAACACACTTAAAATTAACTTTCCCTTAGCCTATCTGAGAACTGGCTAGTCAGGCGAATCAAGGAGTCTCACTATAGAGCAGATGATATGAAGCCCGTAAGTGCCTGGGAACGCTTTGGCGGTAATTTTGATGAATTGCTAGAAACCAAGGTTGATGTAGAAATTAGTGAAAAACCTGAGGGCTCAGCCCCAAGAGGCTCCTCATGCTTCCATAGCTGATGCCTGTCAGAACAGCACCAGGTTGTCAAGGTCCCCATCTTAGAAAGATGCCTTTATGGCCCTGGCAGGAAGTGGGGGTCTGTGGTGGTATTTTATTTGTACTGAAATGTGATTTTCATTGTATGTTAATAAAGTTGCCCGGGGGTCAGAGCTATTAGAGCCATAGACAGAGTGTGGCGGTGGTGGCACATGCCTTTAATCCCATAGATCTCTGTGTGTTCAGGGATACAGCCAGCATTGGAGACATATGCCTTTAAGACCTAGAGGGCTGTACATACAGACAGTGATGAGGCAGTCACGTGTTTGGGTTTACAACCAATGAGAAGGCAGAATGACTATGAAACGACTTACACACAGGAAATAGCTCTCTTTTGGGAAGCTAGGACCACCGCAGGAGGAAGGGTGAGATTTTAGCTCTGAGTTCTGACCTCTCAGCTTTCTCTTTTACATTGGTTCCGTGTTTCTTATTTAATAAGACGGTTGGTTACATCTACAGGGGTCAAACTCTTTGAAATGTTTCCAGGTCATCCTCCACCCTCCCCACCTTCCCCGGCTCAGGAGAAGACGTTTCTCTAGTCAAGGCTTTCCTAGGACCTGGGCAAAGCCAAGGAACACTTATGAAACATATGTTAGCCCAGCCTGGAGTGGTGGTATACACCGGTTAACTCCAGTACCTGGGAATCAGAGGCGGGTTGATCTTTGTGAATCCCAGGTCAATCAGGACTCCATAGCGAGACCCTATTCCACACAACAACAACAATAACAACAAAACCAAAACAAACAGGGCTTGTGCAACGGTTCAAAGGTACAGGCGTTCAAGGCGATTGTCACGGAGCCTGACAACCTACGTTCAATCTACAGTGAACACTTGGTCCCCAGCTAGGGGCGAGGTTTTGGAAGCTTTGTGAACCCTTGCGCTGGAATGGTTTTCAGATGAGTCCCTGGAGTCTGGGGGTCACCCTTTGAGGGTTCAACCCCACTCTTCTTTCAGCCCACTCTCGATGTTTCCTGACCGCTGCTGCTGCTGCTGCATCCCAAGCAGCTGATGGAGCCGTTTCAGCTCCCTAGACTTCCTCAGCAGGGTGGGTTGTAACCTCTGAGCAGATCTGAAAAGAAAGCCCCCTTCCCTTAGGTCTTTTGTCCAGGGTGATGAGACATTGAATAACATACATACATTTAAGTGGCCGAAAAGACCAGTGTGTTGGTTGGTTACAGCAGTGGAGGTATTTTGAAGGCAGGCTTAGGTTTATAAAGATTATGCTGAAAATTCTAGATCAAACACTGAACATTTAAACTTTGTCATTACATTTATTTGTTTTTGTGTATAGTTGGACAACTTTCAGAAGTCCGTTCTCTCCTTCTACCGCACCTGGCGCCCAGGTATTGAACTCAGGTCGTTAGACTTTGCAGCAAGTGCCTTTACCTGCTGAGCCATCTCGCAGGCCCAAATAAAACCATTTTCCTTTAAATATTTTTTCCCTTTAGTAATATCTGACCCCAGAGCTGAGGGCTATCCGAGAAATTGCACATGTGATGAGTATTTGATGAGTGAGATCCGAGGTGACACGCGGAGAGATAAGTAGCCGCCTAGAAGATTCTGAGCCCCTTCCTGACTACCTTTATCAGTTCACTGTATAAGTTTGTGGAACGGCCTACCTCTTCCATTTCTGCACCCCTATTGAAATGACTTCGTCCCTTCTGGTTCCCTTTGCCCAAGCTCTGAGCTGAAATTGGGACATGACCTATCCAACCCTCTCAGAAACCACCTAGCAAATTCCCATCTGTACAGCCCTCTCTAGCACCCGCCCTCCATAATCAAACCATTGGGGAAGGGATTGAATCTGGAAAAAGTCGGGGGTGGGGGTCACCCAGCCAGTCCTCATTAGAAACTCAATCATAGGAAAAGTCCAAAAGGCTAAGAAAGAAGAAAGCGGTTAGGTTGTATCAGGTGCCATAACCAGAGAGGGAGAAGGGAGGGACTGGAAGTATGGCTGAGTCCGGGTCCCACGCCTGTGTCCGTACTTTGTGCTCAGGAGGCAGGGTGGAGGTGGGGTGGCCGCGAAACTCCCTCCCCCTTCCGGTTACACCCATCTACCAAAACCCCTCACTAGAGGCCTCCTAACAGCGGGGTCTGGCCCAGGTGTAACGTGAGAGGGTCTGCTCTGTTGGGCAGCTCCGTTCTCTAGGCCAGGCACCTCTTACCCCTCAGCCCATTCTTGGGCAAGTATAGCAGAGAGCATCACACACACACACACACACACACACACACACACACACACACACACACACACACACACGTTCCTTGGGCAGGAACATTACCATCCCCACAGTCAGGGTGGGGCGGATCTGTAAGCCAGCGGGTTCAGCAAACTGGAGGTCATTCTGTGGTAAGACCGTCATTTCATCCCACCTCCCTTTGTAAATATTAGGATTCTCACATTTTCACAGCAGGAACTTGAGTCTTGAGGAGTAAGAGGAAAGCCGCACAGCGGCCCCAACCTTCTGCACGTTGGCGTGACAGAGAAACAGCCTCTCCCTTTGTTCGCATTCCTGATATTTGGAGATATTTTTTCCCCAGTCCTTGCGTCTGAACCTGCATTGACTTACAGATACAATCCCAACGTGACCTTTCATTTCTAAAGCCACAAGTGTGTGGACACTGCCTTTAAGGCTGTCACTGGCTGGCAGCTTCCCAGAGGTTTCGGTGCCGGTGTCCTGACTTCCAGCTCTCTGTTGGGACTTTGACCGTCACGCAGGCTAGGGCAGAACCCAACAGACACACCGGGGAGCCCCAAATCTATTCCTTGCTGTCATCTGACTCTAGGCCACAGAAAAACAGTCTGGGTCTGGCTTTGTCTCGAATGTCACGCTCTCACTGAGCCTTTGCTGTGGCCTTGATCCCGTGTAGTGCTGGTAGCCCAGAGATAGGAGTAGTCGCAAGTCACAGTCCCACCATAAGGAATTTATGGGGATCTGCTGGGGGGCCTGATATGTGCCAGGAACCCAGGTGCCACTTGGCCCCTCGGGTGGAGCTAAGTTAATGGGATCCTTTCCTTTTTCTCCAAGACCCAGCCGGCAGCCTGCTTTAGGTCACCTCATCTCTTCTACCTATCATTTAAGGAAATCTCCCACCATGGTCCTTTTCTCCCTCTTTAATTTAAGCAACTGAATTGAGGTTAGGAAGATGTCCTTACCCCTCTGTGTCCATTCCCTGCCTGATTAGAAAACATATCAAAGACAGCGGAGACCAAATTCAGCCCTCAAGGCCCATTGTGAAGGGCTCTCGGGGACTAGAGGGGGCTCTCCTGGAGTCTGAGAAGAGAGTCCCCAATTTTGTCATTCCAGCTGTGCTAGGATCATTGGGAGGAAAAAGCCAAGCAAGGTCCGAAGGGTTATCCTTAAAAGCACCCACATTTTGAGACAGGGTCTCTCCGCTGAACCTGGAGCTCACTGATTGGCTAGGCTGGTTAACCAATGAGTTCCAGAGACCCTCCTATCTCCTTGCCCTTCCCTCGGCCCCGCAGGGGCGAGGTTACAGAAGCAAGCTGTGTGCTCAGCTTTTACGTGAATACTGGCGATCGGAATCCAGACCCGTGTGGAAGGCACTATACCAACTGAGCCACCTCCACAGGGCCGGCTCCCAGATTCTTAGAGCCGGGGTTTTAACGTGGGGTTCATGGGTGGATTGTAGGGGATCTGTCAGCTCCCTAAAATCGTATGCATACTTAGGGTTTCTGGGCCGTTTCCTGAGAGATGGGTTAGAATTTCTGAAATCGATTCTCAGAGGGGTCTATTATCCGCACGACGTTAAAGTTAGCTTTTTCAATGCGCTTGAGTTAAGTCTTACGAAGTCTGAAATGTTGATGAGTAAAAACCAATTTGCCCAGCCAAGTCCTGTAACACACATGCTGCCCATAATTAAATGATGCAGCCTGTGTTGATAATGGGAAAGCTTGCCCGGTAGGCTTCTGTCTGTGCTGTTTCTCTAGCACACAGCTCCACTGAGCTATTATTGTTTTATATCTTGCTCTCCAAGTAAAGTGTTCCCTTTCAAGGCAGGGCTTTGTTTCTTAGACACCTTGGCATGACGTCAAACACAGCTCCTCTCAGGGCGTCCTGATTGCAGGGGTATCTGTTGTTTAAGTATTCCCTGGTAACAACCTTCCTAGCTTGCTGCTGGCCTAGAGGAGAGGCCACGTAATGATAAAAAGCCATTATTGGCCTTTTAATGTTTAACTCGGCTTGCTGCTTTGTAATCTCTCTGAAATTAGATTGCTTAGATATGGTACCCCCTTCTCCATGGAAGAGATAATAGTGAGCTTGCCTTTGGATATGCAAATCACCTGATTTGGGATAACAAGCCCATAGGACAAGTTGATAGAAGCTCACGTTCTTAATTATCACCCCTGGTCTTACCCAATTAGCCCTCCAGTTTAGAGAGGCAAAGCACTCCTGCTGTTTAGATACCTCACCCAGTTTCTATGCCCAAGCAAACTTCCCAGAACCCCCTTTTTCCATTGTGGCCTGGACTGATGAACAAGAGAAACAGGCTTCCAGCAACAACGTACAGCCACAGGGAACCTCAGGCTTCCAAGGGCTCAGCATCCTACATCCACCACTTAGAGCAGACATAACTGCTTCCATCAACTTCTCTACTGACAAATCAGGAAATACAACTCTTGCTGACATGCATTAAGCTGGTTTTTTTAAAATAATCATTAAATTTAAACAGCACCTAATGTATCATAAATGTAATTCCCCATGGGACCCAAAGAGTTTGGGTTGCTGATGTTATTGTCCTCAGTTTATAGATGAAGAAACTAACGCACAGAGAGGTGAAGCCACTTGCCCAGCATTACACAGTATGAAAAAAGATAGACATCCAATACAGTTGGCTGGGTTCTGGAGCCTAGGAACTTCAAGACTGCCTCTTGATGCTCGCAGTCTGGGTTCTGAAATGTCAGGTGATCTGATGAACTTCCCAAGCTTTCCAAGTAGTGGTTCAAAGTGCACCCTGGTGATGGAGAAAGCAGTGCCTTAATTTCAGATTTACAAGCCCCAAATTGGGGAAGTTATCTAACCTTGGTTCAACAGAACCATTTCAGCATTCAAACCTTTGGAGGCACATCTTGTCTTATCTGCAAAGTATCCATCCTAGTACCTTTTGAAGAGCTGCTTTGTGGGTTAGGTGTAAATTACTTTCCATAATATCTGGCCCAGAGCACAAACTGGACACACACACGTAAGCAAACAGGGAGATACCCGGATATAAGCGGGACAGCTGTATTACCCGACTTCCACCTAATCAGCCTATCATGAGAGCACCTAAGGCTACAAAGACTGTGTCTGAATCAAAAGACCAGAACTGAAGGGAGAAACAGAGAGCAGAGAAACAGATTCTAGCTTCTAACTCGGCTACACAAGCCTTTCTGTTTAATGGCCTCCCGGGGTATACAAGAATGGATAGGGTTGTAATTTGACTTTGAAATCTGGCCCTTGGAATGTGTAGGCCTTGTTCCCAAAGTGCTCCAAAGGTTACCAAGGACCCTGTGAGAGAAGAAAATGACACACAGAGGTGACTTCTGACTCAAAAATGAGGGGAGGGGGCACTCAAGCTATGCACTCTGACAAACTGGGAGGGAGAGAGATCTGTCAGTAGTAATGACTGTTGTCTAGTTCATTAGGAAGACAGAGCTCAACTCCAGACGAAGGATATTTGGGAAACTAAATGAACCATTGCACATTAGATCTCTTTAATGACTCAAGACAAAATTAAGAAGACTTGAGCATCAGGTAATATTGCCTAGTAACACACATATTGATTATTATACAATGCATACTAATTGAAGGAAGGAGGTGTCTGAGAAAAGACCCCAGAGTTACCAAGATATTTTAAGAAGAAGGTTTTTGCTTTGTTTTGCTTTGCTTTGCTTTGTTTTTAATTGCAAGAAGTAACGAGGTATTGAAAAATACAAGATCTGTGCAGAAAATCTTGTGTGATCTGCCCGAGGAGGAAAATACGCGCAAAAATGTTAAACCATGTTGGATACATGTAAATCTCCATTTCTGATTGTTCCTTCAAGCCTAGAAAGGTTGGTGCCCGTGTTCACTGGGTCCGGATGGTTGAAAGATGGCTGCAGAACAGTGTGGAGTAATTAACAAGGCAGAAACTCATCAAGTTGTCGGCAAAAGGTCAAATGCATGATGAGCGGAATACAATTAGGAGGGCAAACTGTCCTGTCAACTTTTACATCATTAGCCGTTTATAGGGGTCAATACCTTTCAAGGATAGGGGCCCAAGACTGACATTGCTAAGCAGCTGGCAGAATTGCTGAGGCACTTTTGCATTTTCCTTCATCTTCTAAGGCTAACCCATCCTTAAAGCCCTTCCACACATTAAAAATAAGTAACAATAACTGCACATCACCAGTCACGGATAGAGTAAGGTTCATTCCCTAGTCAGTTATAAGCGAAAGGAACACACGTAATAGCTAAATGGAAATCTTCGGTTCTGGTCTGGTCACATTAAAGGGCAACCAATAAAACAGAGCCGAGCTTTCTGACATCTGTCCTCCCAAATCCTCTTGGACCTCTGGGGTGAGGTGGGGGGCAACCGTCACTCCACAGTCACGCTACTTCTGAGATGAGAGAAAAGGATGACAGAGGAAGTGGTCACCTGAGGCTTTCTTACGGTGACCCAAGTTCAAAGACTTACAGGGATATTAATAAGCGTGGATTATTCTTGCAGATTTTTAAACTTTATTTATTTATTTGTTATTTATCTTTTGTTTGTATTTTGAGACAGGGTTTCTCTGTGTAGCTTTGAAGCCTGTCCTAGAACTCGCTCTGTAGACCAGGCTGGCCTCGAACTCACAGAGATCCCACTTGCCTCTGGGCTGGGATCTAGTGCTGGGATTAAAGGTGTGTGCTACCACTGCCCAGCCATCTCACAGATTTTTTTAAATAAGAAAATCTCTACAGTCTTTCTCTCTCCTTCACACACACTCACAGAGATAGACAGACAGACAGACAGACAGACACACACACACACACACACACACATACACACACACAGAGAGAAGAGATGGCTTCTTGAAAATTTAGAAGCAGAACTAGGAAGAAAGAGCTAACCCAAGCATACAGGGTCTTTTTGGAGAGACTGGGGAGAGAAAAAAGAAAGATCTCTTATCACCCTGTATCTGAGCTCAAAGACCAGGCATGGCCGTGGCCTTTCCCTGGGCAATGCTGCTTGGGTCTACCATAAACTTATATATGCAAATGTGTGCTTGTATCTGTAAGTTAATGTATACATATGTGTTATTTATTGAACATTGAGGACATGTTTCAGTCTAAGGATTTCATTTATTATTAAATATGATGTTTTTCATTTATTCTTTGATAATTCCATACATGTGTACCACATGTTTTGATCATATTTACCCCATTCTTTCCTCCACTGGCTCTCAGAATCTCCCCCACCCCCTCCCAACTTCAGGTCCGGTTTTTGCTTTTTCATTCTTTCTTTCTTTCTTTCTTTTTTTTTTTTTTTTATAACCCAGAGTCTAA